GCCTTTTTCATATGCAAGTGGCCAAAAACAAGACAAAAAAAAACCTTAAGTAAACCAAGGGAACATAACTGATCCTTGATCACATAATCCAAAAGGGCTGGAGTGGCGCTTCACTTTACACATAGCTGCACCTGAGTGCTCAGACCACCTCAGTTCTCTCTACCCTCTGAGCATTTGCTTCCTTCCCTGGGTGATAACTTCACTCTCTTATACTTCTTTCCACATAGTGGCCTGAGAAGCCGTTCCTAGCTCACATCTGCCCTCAAGAAAGCAGGGGCTGCATCCCAATAGTTTTGACCAAAGTCCCAGGGTGGACTTTTATGGGACCAATTTAGGCCACATGCCCCTAGCTAAGCCATTCACAATAGCCAGATTAGCTAAACCTGGCTATATAGAGCCCCTCTAGGAAAGGGTTAGGCCCATCCCCTCCAGAAGGACATGGAGAAAATAGGGAAGTCAGAGAAGAGGTGCTACCCCCCCTGAAAAACTGGGATACAATTACCACAAGAAGTACTGAGTACAGGCTCGGCGCCTGTGGCTCAAGCCACTAAGGCGCCAGCCACATACACCTAAGGTGGCGGGTTTGAATCCCCAGCCCAGGCTGCAACCAAAAAATGGCCGGGCGTTGTGGTGGGCACCTGTGGTCCCAGCTACTTGGGAGGCTGAGGCAGGAGACTCGCTTGAGCCCAGGAGTTGGAGGTTGCTGTGAGCGTGATGCCATGGCACTCTACCCAGGGGGGATAGCTTGAGGCTCCATCTCAAAAAAAAAAGAAGTACTGAGTACAGGGCTGGCACAAGTAAGAAGTACCCACTGCACCATCACATAGGCAAGCAGTGGGTCCACCATGGAACAACTTGACTGCTTCACAAAAGGGAACAGTTATGGCCCTCCACCTCTGCTCCCACCACCCACCCCAGGCCTGGCATTTGCCAAATCTGCTTGGTCAAGAGTAACCCAATAACGCATGTCGCATGTCCCCAAAAGAGCTGAAAAGATGTTACTTCTCTGGCTCAAGAACTTTCTATGACTCCTTCTAGCTACTCCCACCACTGATGAATCCTTTAGCACATGCCAGATACTTTATGGACTTTCCTCCACTCAATCCTCACAAACAGCATACAGGTTGGTACTCTTACTGCACCCATTTTGTAGATAAGGAAACAAAGGCTCAGCAATACAAGGTCACTTACACAAAGCCAAAGTTAGGAAGTGCAGCGCTCAAGTTAACACAATATTCTTCCTACCATTAATGTGCCACCCAGCTCCATTTGTTCATGATTCAAAGTCCAGCCTAGGTGACCAATGGGAGGAGCATTAGGGACCCCTTCAGCTTCCACAGTGAGGGTGCAGACATCCTCATAGCTTTATCATCCTTCCCACCCCTAACTTCACAGGATAGGGAAAAGAATTCCTGTAAAAGAAAATCAAGTGAGGTTAGGAAAGGAAGCAGGTGCAAGGAGGCCCCAAATCAGCAGCTGATGTCTCCCACTGCTAAGTATAAGTTTTCTACGACTGTTACAACAAACAGAGAGAGCTAATACCACAAATAGGTAGCTTAAAACAATACAAACTTAGTCTCATAGTTTTATAGGTCAGAAACCTGAAATCATTTTTGCTTGGCTTAAGTCAAGTTGTATACTTTTTTTAGGAGATTCTGAAGAGAAAATCCATTTTCTCCCCTTTCTCAGCTTTTAGTGGCTGCCAGTGTTCCTTGGATTATTGCCTCATCCTCCATTTTCAAAGTACACCACTCTAGTCTCTGCTCAGTGCTATGATCTGAATGCGTCCCCCAAAATTCATGTTAGAAACTTTTTTTTTTTTTTTAGAGACGGGGTCTTGCTATGTTGCCCAGGCAGGAGTGCAGTGGCTATTCACAGGTGCGATCCCACTACTGATCAACATGGGAGTTTTGACCTGCTCCATTTTCAACCTGAGCCGGTTCACCCCTCCTTAGGCAACCTGGTGGCCCCTAGCTCCCCAGAGGTCACCATATTGATGCTGAACTTAGTGTGGACACCGGATCAGCATAGTACACTACAGCCCAGAACTCCTGGACTCAAGTGATCCTACTGTCTCAGCCTCCTACGTAGCTGGGACTACAGACACTCGCCACTGCATCCAGCCATATGTTAGAAACTTAATCCCCAATGCAGCAGTGGTGAGGTGGGACCTTTGATAGGTGATTTGGTCATGAGGGATCTACCTTCATGAATGAATGAATGGTAGATCATAGGAGTGGGCTCCTGATAAAAGGATGAGCTTGGCCCCCTTTCTCTCTCACCTGATTGCCTGGGGAAATGAATGTGTGCCCTTGACCCTGCCCTGCCAAATCACCAGAGGGATGGTGCATAATTCATAGCATGACCAATGAACTACAATGTGACCTAGCACCAGCCAGGCAAAATTACAAAAGCAGCAGCCCTAGTGGATCAGAAAGAGACAAAAAAAGCCACCCATTAGAAGTACCTGCACTCCTAAGGCTCCCAGGCCCAGCCATTTGTAATTTCTGAAACAAATCTCCTTTCCCATGCAGTTAAGCAGTAGACTTATGGTCCTTGCCACCAAGATGTTCTCATCTTCCACCAATCATGGGCCGTCCCTATAGCCAGCCTGCAAAGACTGAACACACTTAATGTGCAGACAAATGGCAACTCCTTGTTCATGATAATTGAACACATTGACATTCTAGATTTAGATATTAGGATATTAGTCTCTTATGAGTTGTCAGTGTGGGTCAACATCCCTGAGTATGACTACATGTGTGACTAAGAAGACAAGGAACAAGAGTTTTAAGAGTCAGAAAGACTGGCCAGAGACACTATGCCTCACCACTGTAATCCTAGCACTCTGAGAAGCTGAGGCAGATGGATTGCCTGAGCTCAGAGTTCAAGACCAGCCTGAGCCAGAGCAAGATCCTGTCTCTACTAAAAATAGAAAAAAAAAACTAGCCCTGTTTTGTGACAGATACATGTAATCCCAGCTACTTGGGAGGCTGAGGCAAGAGGATTCCTCAAGGCCAAGAATTTGAGGTTGCTGTGAGCTATGATGCCAGAGTACTCTATCCAGGGCAACAGAGTGAGACTCCATCTCAAAAAAAAAAAAGAGTCACGCTGGGCGCTGTGGCTTACACTGGTAATCCTAGCACTTGGGGAGGCTGAGGTGGGTGGGTTGCCTGAGCTCACAGGTTCGAGACCAGCCTGAGCCAGAGAGAGACCCCATCCCTAAAAAAAATAGCCAGGGGTTCAGCGCCTATAGCTCAGTGGCTAGGGTGCCAGCCACATACATTGGGGCTGGCAGGTTCTAAACAAGCCCAGGGCCTGCTAAACAACAGTAACAACTACAACAAAAAAATAGCCAGGCATTGTAGTGGGTTCCTGTAGTCCCAGCTACTTGGGAGGCTAAAGCAAGAGAATCACTTAAGCCCAAGAGTTTGAGGTTGCTGTGAGCTGTGATGCCACAGCACTCTACCAAGGGTGACATAGTAAGAGTCTGTCTCAAAAGAAGAGTCACAAAGACCTGGATTGGGTCCCAGCTCTGCCATAATGCCTTACCACCTATGTGTCACTGGAAAAGTTACCGTCTTCCTCTAAGCCTAGGTTCCTCACCTATAACCTGAGGATTGCTAAAGGACCTAGCTCATAAGATTACCTTGAGTACAAGAGTAGCCAAGGGTGGCCAGGTGCAGTGGCTCACACCTGAAATCCTAGCACTCTGGGAGGCCAAGGCAGGCAATTGCTTGAGCACAGTTCAAAACCATCCTGAGCAAGATGGGTCTCTACTAGCCAGAAATTATGGCAGGCACCTGTGGTCCCATCCCTGGGGAGGCTGAGGCAAGAAGAGCTCTTAAACCCAAGAGCTTAAGGTTGCTGTGAGCTATGATGCCATAGCACTCTACTCAGGGTAACAAAGTGAAACTGTCTCAAAAAAAAAAAAAAAAAAAGACCAGCCAAGGGTAGGCTCTGCACAGTGTCCCTAATTATTACTGCATCAACATGATAAAAATCACACCCTTTGTCTCCACTTACAAACCCAAACAATTCTGAAAAATAGGCCATCCATAACTCATATGGCAGAAAAGACTGATATGAAGTGATACAAGGCCACTTAAAATCTTTCTCTATCCCTATTGTTTAAATATCTGTGGCAGAAATATTAACATGTTTGATTACAGGACTCCACTGGGGTACTATACCTAACCATCCTAAAATTGGAAAACTGAATTATATAACTAATAATCTAGCTTCAAGGTTTCAAGAACTATAGACCTGTATCTTTAAGAAGGAGAAGATGAAGCCAGGCCTGGTGACTCATGCCTGTAATCCTAGCACTCTGAGAGGTCAAGGAGAGTGGATGAGTGGATTGTCTGACCTCAGAGTTCAAGACCAGCCTGAGCAAGAGGGAGACCCCCTCTCTAAAACTAGTCAGGCATTATAGTAGGGTTCTGCAGTCCCAGGTACTTGGGAGGCTGAGGTAAGAGGATCGCTTGAGCCTAAGAGTTTGAGGTTGCTGTGAACTATGATGCCACCTCACTCTACCAAGGACAACAAAGTGACACACTCTCAAAAAAAAAAAAAAAGGAAAGAAAAGAAAAAAGGTGAGAATGAGAATTTAAAACTGGCCTGTTATTATGCACCAAGGTACCTGCCATCTCAAGAGGACATTGGCAGCCAGCCAGCCAGTCTATACAAACTCCACCCCAACCTCACTATGTCCCTTTCCCTGAAACTTTCTAAGGGGCCTTTAAAATTTGTATTCAGCTCTCTCAAACTAAAATCAGGGTGACATCCCAAGAAACCTGCCTGGTGACAGCCAAGGTGGAGCTCCAGATGAAAGGCACACAACTTTAAACATAAAATAAAGCATTTAACGGAACAGCTGTTTATCAAGCATAAGCACAAAGCCCAGGTATCATTAGGTTTTTAATTATACATCAATGATTGTGGAAAAGCAATTATTCCCATAATTAAAATATTATTTTAAAAAAGACTTAAAGAAAAGATGTCAGCAGAATGAAAGAAGATACATTTCTTTCATGTTCAAACCACAGTGATCACGACACGGCAGCACACACAGCCTGGCGCTTTGTGCTCTCGGCATCCTCTGGTTCCCCTTCAAGGGCCCGCTTTCGACCAGTGGAAGACTGGCAATGAAGGAAAATGGAGAAACGTTCACAAGAAAATCATTAGCAACAAATAAATAAATAAATAAGAAAATCATTGGCTTCTTTAAGATTACCAAAGTTTCCCAATATGCTCCCAGTAATATGGGAGTATTTCATGTTAAACTTATCATACCATTCATTTATTGACAACTGAATCTCCACTATACCCCCAACTCAAACACATTTACCTACTTGACATTTCTCTCCCTTGTAGCTTCTGCCCACTAAATGACACATGTTACACATCTTTTCCTAAATAATCAAGTTTAGGAGGACTACGATACCTTTCACTTGTAGCCCTAAGTCTTCCTCTTGTGTGGGAAGACCATCTTTTTTGTGCCTTAGTTGTTTTCCCATTTATAAAATTGAGAGGGAGCAGCGGGGAAGAGGAGAGATTATTCACCAAAAGAAAGCAGGATAGGAATAAACAGATATTAATTATACTTAAAAAGAAATTTTTAAGAATAATATTATAATTAAGGAATCAACCACTTCCCCAAATTTTAATTTTTCCAACAAATTTATATTTGAGCCTCTAAACTTGCCTTGCTGGAGACTTTTAGAATAACAATTCTTAGCCATATTTAAACATACCAGCATTAAATCTTCTAAGGGTGCTGGAATAGATCGAGTTAAACAAAGTATCAGTTATATTAGCTAAAAAATTGTTCAGCAATTATGACTCAAGAGAATCTTCAAATTCACCAGCTCTTTAAACCAGCCTACATTTAATGATCATGAGGAATACCAATACCTGCCCTGGAACTGAGGACTTATTTTCCTCAGACAGCAGCTCCTCAAACTTTCTCTTCATGTTCTCATCCTGTGAAAAAATTGAAAATATAAGTAGACTGCGTCTGAATGAAAGAAAGCTCCTAGGATGACAGGGTTAGGATTTCCCTGGATGAGGGAAACAGGCAAAGACATCCAGTTTGTCCACTAAGAATCAGCCCATCACTGAAGCTCTCAGATCAAAAAGACCACAAACTACTCCCCTCTGCATTCCCAAAGTAGTGTGCTCCATCAACACTGGTTGAAATCATGTACCTTCAAGCTCTCAGAACTCTCAGTGGGTGAGAAAACCACAGTCCCTAGTGGTCAAATGATTTTTTATTTTGTTTGTTTTGTTTTGTTGAGACCCAGTCTCATTCTGTCACCCTGGGTAGAGTGCCATGGCAACATTGCAGCTCACACCAACCTCAAACTCTTGGGTTCATGTGGTCCTCTTGCCTCAACCTGCTAAGTAGCTGGAACTACAGGCATGCACCACCACGCCCAGCTAATTTTTCTTTTCTTTTTTTTTTTTTTTTGAGATGAAGCCTCAAGCTACCCCTTGGGTAGAGTGCCATGGCATCCCGCTCACAGCAACCTCCAACTCCTGGGCTCAAGCGAGTCTCCTGCCTCAGCCTCCCAAGTAGCTGGGACTACAGGCGCCTGCTACAATGCCTGGCCATTTTTGGGTTGCAGCCATCATTGTTGTTTGGCGGGCCCGGGCTGGGGATTTGAACCCACCACCTTAGGTGTATGTGGCTGGCGCCTTGGCCGCTTGAGCCATAGGCGCTGAGCCTAATTTTTCTATTTTTAGTAGAGATGGGGGTCTTGGTCTTGCTCAGGCTGGTCTCCAGCTCCTGAGCTCAAGCAATCTACCTCCTCAGTCTCCCAAAGTGCTAGCATTACAGGCGTGAGCCACTGCACCCAGCCTGAAATGATTTTTTAAACTAGCATCCCAAAACTTGAGAAAGATGCCAATTGGGAGCCAGGCACAGTGGCACACACCTGTAGTCAAAGCTACTCAGGAGACTGAGGCAGGAGGATCAATCGAGCCCAAAACTGCAAAGCTGCAGTGCACTATGATCACACTTGTGGACAGCCACTGCATTTCAGCCTGGGCAACATAGCAAGACTCTCTCCCTAAAATAAATTAAACTCAAAAAGAAAAAAACAAAAGATGGCAATCAGGAGGCCACAGACTTGGCCTGACTCCATGCAGCTCCCCAAATTCTTTGGGGACCACCACTTACCATCCCCTTCAATCCTGCTAACTATGAGGCCATTTACTTAGGCCATCCTAACAACCAGCCAAGCACCCTAGGAAAATTCACCCAGTGGATACTTTACAAGCTACCAAAAGGACTTCAATCCTGCAATAACCCAAATAGCTCAAGTCTAATAAGAAAGGAAGATAATGAACAGAACACTGCATTACAAGTATTTCATGCTACAAGAAGAAGAGGGGAAAGCACAGAGGACAACTCACGGAAGTGTACAAGGGTGATTCCCACCTCCCTGAATGCTCACTTCTGCAAGGATCAAGGATTGGTCTTTGGGAGCCCTGAAAGGTGAGCTGGTACAGCACTCCCCACCTTCAGAAAGGTTAAAGAAACATCTACAACTAGCATTGTGGGCTGTGGGGCTGGCCAGAAGCCCAGCCCAGCCACTCTCAGTGGTATGTGCAGAACACAGAGCCAGAACTGTCTGATTCCAAAGTCTCATCTAGTGTTTTCCACTCCACCTCACCCTGCCTCCCATGAAGCCATAGCAGGGAAGGGCAGAGGACACAGGAGCAAAGGCCTCCAACATTCAGCAATTTGAGGGATATAGAAATTTTATAATACTAAAAGACTAATAACAGGCTCAACTATCCTCTATCTAGTAGCTTGAATCATTATCTGCTTCCTCTCCAATACTGTTTTATAGTTACTATGCCATTTTGATAATACTACACTCTCTCCACTGGGAATATCCTCCTTGCCTTCCTGCCTATCCACCTCACCCACCTTCCTCATTCAGTGAACAAATATTTTCTGAGCACTCTCAGATGCCAGGTACTCTAATAGGCACAGGGCCTCCCTATCAGAGGGATTCAGGAAATATTTGAAAATGCTGACCCACTAATCCCCAACCTTATTGCCAGGCCATTCAGCATCAAGACATTCCTCACACAGTGTGAAGATGTGGATACCCAGAGGGCTGTGGGCAGGGGCCCTACCTTGTCCTGGTTTAGAACCATACTCTGTGCACCTATCCTTATTACTACATATATCACACTGCTCTGTAATGACTGGTCAGGACAGGCCGGGACCCAGACTGTCAGCTCCCTGTGGCAACGACTATCTTATCCTATTCCTTTTTGCATCCAGTGACTAACGGTGCTTGGAATACAAGCTCATTAACTATGCTGTGAATACACAAATGCATGAACAAATGAAACGAAAATGGAATGCCCCTCACATGGCAGCCCTTCCGTGCCACCAGGGTGACCACAGCTCTATTTAATAGGCCTCTATTTAAAACATGTGATCAGCTAGCAATAATATGAAGATGGAGCTTACTGTCACCACAAGTAGCAACGTTTATCTGTAAATATCTTTCCTTTGGGAAAAAAAAAAAAAAGAAGAAGAAGAAAGCCGGGCATGGTGGCTTATGTCTGTAATCTCAGCACTTTGGGAGGCTGAAGGCAGGTGGATTACTTGAGCTCGGAAGTTTGAGACCAACTCGAGAAAAGCAAGACCCTATCTTTAAAAAAAAAAAAATCTTTCTTTTGAGATGTCTATAACCTACTCACAAGTTACTAAAATTCTGTCCACAAAAGACAGGAGAAAAAGGGGGAAAAAATTAAATTATACCTCAAAGGCAAAAGAAAGGTATGCTCTATTTCAGGTAATAAAGATGAAACAGAAAGTGGCTAGAAGGGATGCTCTCAAAGCTGGACACTACTGTTTATCATAAAACAGAGACCAGAACCCATGTTCAATGCACAGTCCAGTGCCAGACCCACAGAACCATTTGGTTTGTTCAAAAACACTGAAGTTTCCCAAAATAAAACCTCAACTATATATACATACACATATCATATATATATATAAGTTTATATATACATATATACACACTTTTTTTTGAGACAGAGGCTCATTATGTTGCCCTCAGTAGAGCGCCACTGCATCATAGCTCACAGTAACCTCCAACTCTTAGGCTTAAGCAATTCTCTTGCCTCAGCCTCCCAAGTAGCTGGGACTACAGGCACCTGCCACAATGCCCTCTGCTACCTCCCTGAAGCTTCCCTAACTGAAAGTTGAAGATGGGTAGAATGCAGCCCACCCCACCTGCAGAGTAGAGAGGGGACAAGGATGAGGGTGGAACCAGAACAACTTCTCAAAGGAACACAGGCCAAACTGCAATCTCAAGGCAGCCAAGTGGAAGCAGAATAGGCCCTAAAGTGAGCTTGTACATCTAAGAGCCACAAGTAACATTTAAAAGGTTGATCCCAGGGGTGGTGCCTATGGCTCAAGGAGTAAGGCACCAGCCCCATTTATCAGAGGTGGCGGGTTCAAACCCAGCCCCAGACAAAAACTGCAAAAAAATAAATAAATAAAACTTGTAAAACTTGTAAAAAGGTTGATCAAACAAACAAACTAGCTCGCTGCCTATGGCTCAAGTGGCTAAGGCGCCAGCCACATACACCTAAGGTGGTGGGTTCGAATCCAGCCTGGGCCCACCAAAACAACAATGACAGCTGCAACCAAAAAATAGCCAGGTGTTGTGGCGGGCGCCTGTGGTCCCAGCTACTTGGGAGGCTGAGGCAAGAGACTTCCTTGAGCCCAGGAGTTGGAGGTTGCTGTGAGCGTGATACTACAGCACTCTACCCAGGGGGATAGCTTGAGGCTCTGTCTCAAAACAAACAAACAAACAAACAAACCGCCATCTATACCTTCCCATCCCCTACACACACACACACACACACACTCCATACACCTAAAGCAATTATATTAAAAAGACCCAACAGAGCAGACATGTTTCTGTCCTCTTCCTCATCTCTATCAGGCAGCAGGGTTCTCTGTGTATGTCAAGGAAGCAGGCAGGCACCATCCCATACCCACCTGAAGCCAGGGGTGTCTCAAGGCTTCTTCTGTTGTAAAACGCACCTTTGGATCCACTACTAACAACTTCTTGACAAGGTCCAAAGCTAAAGCAATAAGATAATTGGGCAAAACACAATGAAAAGGATGAATACATTTAATCAGCAATATTATAGAATGCTAGAATTACAGACCACTATCCAGAAAGAAGAGAAAGGGTCTGAGATCAGGGAACCAACAGACATAGTGGGCAGTGCCCTCTAATCTCCTGATTTTATGCATTCTGAGTACTCTGAGAACACCAGGAATAATGACACTTCCCATCTCTTCCTGCTGGGACATCACAATCTCTTAGCTCCCTGTTACCTCTCTTATGGCTAGAATCAAGTTCAAACTAATTAAATCTGAACTTCCACACAGTTCTAAGATACTCAGAATTCACAGCAAAGTCTCCCTGAGATCCATGGATTAACGGTTAGATTTACTCAGCCACAGAGTCTCCCTAAAACTACAGACTGGTCAAAAATAAAGACTGCTTCAGCAAGCAACTGCAGGCTAACTTGTACATTGTAAGCATATTATTATTATTCCTTAAATATGCTGACATTCAATACAATCACCTCTGTTACATTATTTGATATTTAATCTTCTATTTTTTTTCCTTCAAAAAACAAAGCTGCACTTCTAAATTACAAAATGCAAGGTAACTAATGACATTTAGCTTTGACATGCTTAAAGAAAACTTTGTAGTTAAAAATTTACTCATTATTTCACACATTTAAATATATATCACCCACTTGAGTACATTATACTTAACCCTCACAAAAACTCTTTAAGGTTGAAGTTATTGAGGTCCCCTTTATAAATGAAGAAAATGGAAACTCAAGTTAAATAACTTGCCTAAGATCACACAGCTAAGAACTAGCAGACTCAGAACTGAAGCCTCTCAGTCCTCTGCCTCTCAAATGGTGCAAAATTAACAACAGAAAATAAGAACAGAATTGACAGAAGAAAACATCATGGAATTTTGAAAAGAAACTCCCAGCACAGCACATCCACATTTTAGCAAACCACAAATTCTTAACCCTTTGATATTCATACCATTCTCTGAGACATCTGCCCAGACTTCAGGAATGAAGTGGTATTTTCCACTGGTGATCTGATCCTTCAGGGAAACTTGAGTCTTATGCTCAGAGAAAGGTGGATACCCACTAAGGCTTAATATTGGTAGACAGAGAAAGGAAAAGAAATCAAATGGCATTCTCAGTGGCATTTGGATATATCTATTTCTTTTTCAGCATAATGAAAAAATCAGATTTTTCTTTAAAATCGATGGTCCAAAAGTAACCTAAATTCAACACAAGCTTGCTACCTGGACATGTTTATGATTTCACCTAATCACCTCCAACCAGACTTTGAAGCAATGAAAACTTCTCTTACCAGATAAAAAGAATAACTCCTAAGCTCCAGCAGTCTACAGCACGATTATACCCAGCAGTCCCAACAGAACCAAGAACTTCAGGAGCCAAGTACGTAGGGGTACCACATAAGGTTCTCATGAGAGACGTCTCCCCCAAAATCTTTGACTGCCCAAAATCAGTAATCTAAAATTAAAGACAAAAGGGAATAATTATTAAGGATGTCATAAAATAAAAAGATTAACATAATCTGCCAGTTCAAAAAAATGTAGGCCAGATCAGTTTCTAGTGTACAAATCGCAGACATACCTGCCATTAATCTGAAATCTACAAATTCAAATTCAAGCCTTTCAAGTTAAGGTTTTTATTATGCTTAAATTAAAATTCCTCAGCCTCGGAACCAACTTCAAGACTCAGGTTTGTCCAACTTACCTATGCTCTATCATCTTACAAAAAGCCTATAACATGATGGAGACGGGAGGGTGCAAGTTGGCAGCCAAGTCACAGCTTCTTTGCAACCAGGCGTGGTGAGATTGGGGAGAGAAGACTCCAGGCATCTCTGGCTTGTGGTCTCTGTCCAGAAACATCCCTTTGGGGATACAGTGAGACAGCAAGAGACTTCTGGACCCCAGGAGGAGGACAAAAGCAGTGGAGAAGTGGCAAGTGGTTGCGTTCGGTCTGAGGCTGCCATAACTGTAACTACAACAGCAGCAAGATTGAAGACAGGGAAGGCCTTCCCTGTGGGTTGTTTTGTTTTTTTGGACTTGGGCACTCAGTTGAACTACCTTGGAAGAACTTGGGCGAGAGTGCAGGTGACTTTAAACACTGTCCAGGGTCCGAGACTGAGCTGCTGGGCCAGAATGGAGCTAACATTGTTCAGCTGTGGGCCTCACAAAGCCATTGTGAGAGAACTGCCCTGCAGGCTCTGCTCTCAGGGTCGCAGAGTGAGGCTTAGACCCAGTGACCTCGGGTGGGTGATCTAGTGACTGTGAGCAGCCAAAGGACAGAACTGAGACGCTGGGGAAAAGCAGAGCTTTCAGTGTTTGGCAGTAGGAGGGCTGTGGTGCAGCCTCAGCCCTCAGAGGCATAGAGTGAGGCAAGTTTTGGCACATCTAGATAAGCGGGCAGCTACTTCAAGAGAGACCCCAATGACAAGTATTTTCCTGGGAAAGCTTCTGCTTAGCCAAGGTTAATAGTTTAAAGTGTCTTTTAAGCAGGCTGAGGTAAGATTCAGGCTCTCAACCTTGTGGGGTTTAAGGGCCAAGAAGTCAGCAGATGCTGCCAGTCTCCATCTCATACAGCTGTACCAGCATTGTGATTAGCCTCTCATATGCCAGAAGAGCACCTGTTGTCCGGACAATATTCACCAAGATATATACCTAACAAAAGAGTTGAAGGACCTCTATAAAGAAAATTATGAAACCCCAAGAGAAGAAGTCGCAGAGGATATTAACAAATGGAAGAACATACCATGCTCATGGCTAGGAAGAATCAACACTGTTAAAATGCCTATACTTCCCAAAGCAATCTACAGATTCAATGCCATCTCTTATTAAAATACCAACATCGGAGTGGTGCCTGTGGCTCAAAGGAGTAGGGCACCAGCCCCATATACCAGAGATGGCAGGTTCAAACCCAGCCCCAGCCAAAAACTCCAAAAACAAATAAATAAATGAAGCATTTTCTAAAAAAAAAAAATACCAACATCATACTTTCAAAACTTGGAAAAAACAATTCTTCATTTTGTATGGAACCAGAAAAAACATCATATAGCTAAGGCAGTTCTTAGTAATAAAAACAAAGCTGGAGGCATCAGCATATCAGACTTTAGGCTGTACTACAAGGCCACAGTGGTCAAAACAGCAAGGTACTGGCATAAAAATAGAAACATAGACATTTGGAATCAAACGGACAACCAGAAAATGAAACTAACATCTTACAGCCACCTAATCTTCAATAAACCAAACAAGAATATACACTGGGGGAAAGACTCCCTATTCAAAAATGTTGCTGTGAGCTATGATGCCACGGCACTCTACCCAGAGCTTGAGGCTCTGTCTCAAAAAAAAAAAAAAAAAAATTCTATTCAATAAATGGTGCTGGGAGAACTGGATATCCACATGTAAAAGACTAAAACTGGACCCACACCTTTCTCCACTCACTAAAATTGATTCAAGATGGATAAAAGACCTAAATTTAAGGCATAAAATGACAAAAATCTTCAAAGAAAGCATAGGAAAAGCACTTGACAATATCGGTCTGGGGAAAGACTTTATGAAGAAGACTTCTGTGGCAATTGCAACAACAAGAAAAATAAATAAATGAGACTTAATTAAACTGAAAAGCTTCTGTTCAACTAAGAAGACAACAACCAAAGCAAACAGACAACCTACACAATGGGAAAGGATATTTGCATATTTTGAATCAGACAATAGCTTGATAACTGGCAAGAGAGATGAATAGAACCTTCTCTAAAGAAGATAGATGAATGGCTAGCAAACATATGAAAAAATGCTCATTGTCCCTCATTATTAAGGAAACGCAAATCAAAACCACCCTGAGATATCATCTAACCCCAGCAAGAATGGCCCACATCACAAAATCTTAAAACTGGAGATGCTGGCACAGATATGGAGAGAAAGAAACACTTTTACACTGATGGGACTGCAAACTAATACAATCTTTTTCAAAGGAAGTAGGAGAACCCTCAAAGAATTTAAGCTAGACCTCCCAATTGATCCTGCAATCCCATTACTGAGTATCTACCCAGAAGGAAAAAAATTCCTTTACCATACAAACACTTGCACTAGACTGTTTATCGCAGTTCAATTTACAATCGCCAAATTGTGGAAATAGCGTAAATGCCTGCCAACCCAGGAATGGATTAACAAGCTGTGGTATATGAAAGCATGGAATACCATTCAGCCATTAAAAAAGATGGAGACTTTATATGCTTTATATTAACCTGGATGGAAGTGGAACACATTATTCTTGGTAAAGCATCACAAGAATGGAGAAGCATGAATCCTATGTACTCAATTTTGATATGAGGACAATTAATGAACTACTACATGGCAGGAGGTAGAGAAAGGGAAAAGCAGAGAGAGAAAAGGGGGGGATGAGGTAAAAAGAGCTGAGAGAGGGCAGGAGGGAGGGGGGTGGGGGGTCTCAATGAGTGACACACCTTTTGGTGGCAAGACACAGTTATAAGAGGGACTTACAAAAGCAATCAGTGTAACCTAGTTTCTTATTTCTTCAGTGAATCTCCAACAATAAAAAAATTAACAAAATAAAAGCTTATGACCTAAAATAACTTTGCATAACTCTTCTCATAGATACTTTACAATCCTAATTAGTTATACATGGTTCTTCTTAGACCCGTTTCTCAAAGTGGGCTGCAACTTGGAATACCTGGAGAGCTTGGAAAAGATCCATAACCCTGGGTGCCACCCTTCGTATCTGAGGTGTAGCCTGAGTATCATGATTTCTTTTTTAAGATATAGAGTCTCACACTATTGCTCGGGCTGGGTTGCAATGGTATGATCACAGCTGACTGCAATCTCAAACTCCTGGGCTCAAGAAGACTCCACCATGCCCAGCCAATTTTAAATTTTTTTTTTTTAGTAAAGATAGGGTCTCATTGTTCAGAAGCTGGTCTCTTAAATCCTAGTCTCAAGAGTTCCTGCCACCTCAGCTTTCCAAAGTGCTGGGATTACAGGTGTGAGCCACCATGCCCAGCCTGGATGTCCAGATATTTTAAAATCCTAACAGGAGATTCTGAAGTGAACTCAGGCTTGAGGAACAGGGAAAGGAAATAACATGCGATTCACTTGTCCATTTAAACAACTCCTCTGAGAACAAAAGTGACTTGTAAGGCTGGGCGGGGGTTCACACCGTAATCCTAGCACTCTGGCAGGCTGAGGCAGGTGGACTTCCTGAGCTAACAAGTTCGAGACCAGCCTGAGCCAGAATGAGACCCCCATCTCTAAAAAAAAATAGCTGGGCTTTGTGGCAAGTGCCTGTAGTCCCAGCTACTTGGGAGGCTGAGGCAAGAAAATTGCTTGAGACCAAGAGTGTGAGGTTGCGATGAGCTATGACTCCACAGCGCTCTACCAGGGGCAAAAAATGAGACTCTGGCTCAAACAAAAAAAAAAACTGACTTGTACACAGTGAAGCTAATTAGAATCTATCTGGACAAAAGCTATAATACCTGATCCCAAATAATTGGTAAGCATGGAAAGGTCAGATTCTCAACCTTTTCATGCTCTCACTTTTTATTTGAGGAATTAAGAGTTTCTGAACAGAAATCTACCAAAGTGGTCACAAACAGAACATAAGTTTCTTACCTTTATAAGACAGTCCTCATTTTGAGATGACAGAAGAACATTCTCTGGCTTTAAGTCCCGATGTATAATGCCATTTTCATGAAGGTACTACACAGAAAGGGAGGCATGACCCTTGGATTTATGTAAAGGTAACATAAGCATAGACAGTTACCAACACATCTATTTCACAGCTGGTTGAAAGCCATGTTATGCACAACAAAATTCCTCAAAATCAGAAAACTACTGTGGTACAGAGATTAGTGCTTACAAATTTGTTTAAGAAAAGACTTAAAAAGCAGAAAAATCAAAAAAACAACTTAGAGGCAGCACCCATAGTTCAGTAGACAAGGTGTTGGCCACATACACCCAAGCTGGGGGGTTTGAATCCCACCCAGGCCAGCTAAAAAACAATGACGACTACAACAAAAAAATAGCTAGGCGTTGTGGCAGGCACCTGTAGTTCCAGATACTTGGGAGGCTGAGACAAGCGAATCGCTTAAGCCCAAGTGTTTGAGGTTGCTGTGAGCCGTGATGCTACAGCACTCTACCCAGGGCAACATAATAAGACTCTGTCTCAAAAAAAAAAAAAAAAAAAGTTAGGACAATAAACTTTTAACCTTGATTCCACTTTTGAAGAAAATAACTCTTGACAGAAATAGAAGGTGTTTCTTGCAATAAAAATTTAAATGAGTGATAGAAAATATTTTGAGAACATAGCAAAGTAAACATAACACTTTTACAAAATGTTATATTTGGTTATTACAGCCCTGAAAATACTTTTCAAGGGATTCTGTTAAGATACATATTTGTAAATTATCTTCAGTTTAAATACCAAGTTAACCTATTCCTTGATATAAAGACTTAGTCTTTGGCTCGGCGCCTATAGCTCAACCGGCTAGGGCGCCAGCCACGTACACCTAAGGTGGCGGGTTCGAATCC